CAGCCTTCCAAGTAGCCGGAATTACAGGCGTGCGCTACCACGCCCGGCTAATTTTTTTTTATTTATTTATTGTAGAGATGAGGTCTCACCAAGTTGCCCAGGTGGGTCTTGAACTTGCAGGCTCAGGCAATCCACTCACCTTGGCCTCCCAAAGCGCGGGATTACAGGCTGAGCCACCGAGCCCGGTCGACACCCTCTTTCAAAATGAATCAAATTTAATGAGCAAATGGGAAATGAAAGGCAAGCTTCTGGGTACCTGCTTGGTTTGTTGATGTCCATATAAAAAGTTGGGCAACAGTTACCATTAGATTGATTTCTCACACACTAGAAAGTCTGTGACTGTAATAAAAACCACTGCTTTTGATGTTCTTTAAATGCTAGAAGGATCCATTGTGATTTCTCTTCATGGCTTTAATTTCTGGGAAGCTACAGACATAATTGGATGAGAAGGTTATTAGGTTAAAAAAAAAATCCTTCGAAGATGAAAAGAATTATGAACCTGTCTCATCCAATTTTTTTCAGATGATTCTAACCAGCATCTGTGTACTTTTTGCCATGTTTTACGTAAACCATTTGTGAGGATTTTATGTTTTCTTTTGACTTGAGAAAACCTCCCAAATCTTTTTTAAGATGTAGGAGTTTTAAGCTTTTCCTAGTGTTCATTTCACCTGGAGATTATTTTTCTGTTATCCATAACTCTAATTCTGTACAGGAGTTGGTGACTCACTGTGCTTTTTAATGAAAATTGGGATGATAAATTTAAAAGTTCAATGCAAGTTCATCAAAAGCAAGTACAGAACAGAGGTAGAAAGAGGTATTTCCCCCCCCTTCTGAAATCTGCCACGTGAGGAAAACATCTAGGGTGCTTTGTTTCTTTTTGAAACTAGCATTAAAAGATGATAAAGATTACCTAGTGTGGAAGCTAGCTCAAACCAGTGTGTTTTATTTTCTCTATCATTTAAAATCTTAGGAAAAAAGTATAAACCAAACCCGGCTTTGATATTTACAAGTAAACTGCATTAAAATAATAATTACCAAATATGGATATCAGTTATTTTGTTTGATTCTGATGTTTTTCCCTTCAGTATCTTTCAGTCATTCTTACTAATGCAAATTTATAGTGTTATACAATATTTTTAATGTAAAAATATAATCTTTATTAAAGTAATTCATCTCTGTTAAATTGCATTCCTGGGTGATTTCTATAAGATTTCATATCCTGTTTGAAGTTTTTACCTTTTTCCCATAATATGATTTCAATATATGTGTATTTGATGAAGTATGTTGACTTTTTTAAGCTCATTTTTCATAAAGGTATAACACAGATGTGTCAAAGAGTAATTCTAAGATACTAGTAGAATACTGTTTGAGCTATTCTTTTAAAGTTTATCTTGATTATACTTGTCCTTTTCATGAAGTCATTAAGAATAACTAGGGATTGGCCTTTTCCATAGATTCTATATTGATTTCTCACTTAAAGTCGTTTACAGTATTACCCACATAAAAATATTGAAAAACAATCTCACATTATATAATAGCTGAACACTGCAATTAGGAGATAAAACATAACATGTTTCCCATAGAATTATAATTGGAACAGGAAGTGTTAATAGTGAAGATTGGTAAGAAAGGTTCCAAAATATACTGAAGTGTTTATTTTCTTTATACAAGCTATATTGGTATGATATGTTAAATATGGTGATTTTCATATCGATTAAGGTTTAGTTGTTTGATAGATAGCTTTATTACAATTCTTTTAAAAGATAGTGACGTTTCTATCTCAAGCTGAAGTCATTTCCCTTGGTCATTACTGGGCACTCTTGTCACCCTGTCACGACTTAATATATCCACCAGCAAAATATTCAGAAAAAAGTTATCATTTGGATCTGAGATGCTAAGCATACAGTTTTTTTGTTTGTTTGTTTCGTTTTTTTGAGTCGGAGTCCCACTCCGTTGCCTAGGCAGGAGGGCAGTGGCAGGCTCACGACCACCCAGCATTGACCTGCTAGGCTCTGGCGATCCTTCCACCTCAACCTTCCAAGTAGCTGGAACCACAGGCATGTGCTACCATGCCTGGCTAATTTTTGATGTATTGTAGAGACAAGGTCTCTCCAAATTGCACGGACTGGTCTCAAACCCTCAGGCTCAGGCAATCCACTCGCCTCAGTCTCCCAAAGTGCTGGGATTACAGGCTGAGGCACCAAGCCCGGTCAGCATATAGTTTTAATGTTTGATTTAAACATTAATAGCTGTCAGACATGTTCAGTTATGACCTGTTGCTGAATTGACTTAAGTACTGTGCCCTTCTTCCTTTTATGTTCGGATAAGCAATAGAGAGTAAGGTAGCCTTGGCCGGATAAGAGAGAAAATAGAGAAAACTTTTAGAACTCAGGGTTCTCAACCTAAATTATGTGCTTTAGTTTCTTCAATAGTAGAGAGTTACCTTGTAAATTGCTTCTGGGCTTGCTCCATTCATTTAACAAAAAGTTGTTAAGCACCCATTACATGTTATGTGTACTGGAGATATAGCGGCAAACAAAATGGACAATATCTTTGCCCACAAGGAGATGATAGTCTTTTTTCAGAGGAAATAAACAGTAAGCAAAAGTGCAAGTCAGTGTGTCAGATAGTAACAAGTGCTCTGAAGAAAAATAAAACAGAATAAGGGGTAAATTGGGGGTGAGTTTACTAGTCTGTTCAGGATGTTCAAGGAATCCCTCACTCATCAGGTCACATTTGAGCAGAGTAAAGGAACTGAGGTAGTGAGCTGTGTCTCTCTACTCCTGTATCAAGCTACCTACTTAATACCTCTTCTTACCTAATATGAACCTCAAACTAGACATTTTAAAAACAGAACACTCGGTGGCCTGATAAACCTCTACATTCAGTCCTCCTCATCCAGAAATGGTATCACTGTCTATCCAGTTACTAATATTAAAAATCTAGGACTTGTGATTGGTTCTTCCAGTTTTTCCTTCAACTCATGTTGGCATGTCCAGCAGGGTGTACTTCTAAAATATATCTCTTATCTATCTTCCTTCCATATATAGTACTACCACACTTGCTCAGGCCACTGTCATCTCTTGCTTTGATCATTATTAGATCCTCCTAACTGTTCTGTTTCAGTTATTGGTTTCCCATTACAATTAAGGTCTTTTTGCTAGGTATAGCATTCTAGGTTGGCAGTAATTTCCTTCTATCACTGTAAAGATTCTACCATTGTCTTTCACCTTCCATTATTTCTGTTGAAAAGTCAACTCTATGTCTTGTTTTTGTTCTTTTGAACGAAAGGTGTAAACTCTCTCCTCTCCCTGCACTGTGCCTGCTCCTAGCTGCTTTTAACATTTTCTCTATCTTTGTTTTTCAGCAGCTTTGCTGCAGTGTGCCTATGTGTGGTTTTCTTTGCATTTGTCCTGATTGGAGTCTATACAGCTTCTTTTATGTATGGCTTGATGATTTTTTTGTTAGTTTTAGAAAATTCTAACTGTATATTTCTTCAGATTCTGCTTCAGTTCTATTCTTTCTTTCTTTGTATTCTTGGTTTCCAAGTTCATGCATTTTAGACCTTTTCATTGTGTCTCATATTGCCTTAAGCTTTTTTCTGTATTGTCTTCCTTTTTTGTGCATCATTCTTGATTTTTTTTTTTTACTGACTTCCTTCTAGGTCACTAATCTTCTCTGCCATTATGTTTAATTTATTATTATTATTTTTGAGTCAGAGTCTCACTCTGTTGGCCATTCTGGAGTGCAGTAGCATGACCACAGCTTACCATAGCCTCGACCTGGGCTCAGTTGATCATTCTGCCTCAGCCTTCCAAGTAGTTGGAACTACAGGCATGTGCTATCATGCTGACTGATTTTTTTTTTTTTTTAATTTATTGTAGAGACAAGGTCTCGCCAAGTTGCCCAGGCTGGTCTTTAACCTCAGGCAAAGTTCTGGGATTACAGGCATGAGCCACTGCGCCCAGCTAGTCTTTTGAATTTCTAACTTCAGTTCTTGCATTTTTCAGTTTTAGAATTTCCATTGACTCTTGTTTATAAATTCTAGTTCTGTGGTACAATTTTTAATCATTTAAAACATCTTTTCATTAATATACTTATGTTGCATGCATACTTTGAGGATGTATTTTTATCTGTTTTGAAAGATGCATTAATCACAGTGATGTAGAAGTCTTATTTGATATCTTCAAAATCTGATTTATCTGTGCATCTCTATTCTACTTATTTTCCTTGTTCCTCGTCTGGTCTTGTTTCTTGCCCTACCTGGTAAGACATTTTTGACTAAATGTCAGATATTTTATGGGAAAAATTAAGGAGGCTGTGGATGATAGCAACTTCCACAGGAGGCTTTATTATTTTTCTGGGTTGTAAACCTTGCTTGGGTAGGTCTATTAAAGACTGTCTTTGCTCCAGAGCGCTTTTGTTCTGGCAGACCTTGAGTTTCAACCTCAGTCTTCTAGCACTTAAAGATTGCTGAAAGCTTTGCTCAGGTTTTTGTCCTCTCCGCTGCTGCTTTTTGTTTAGCTCTTGTTTTTTTTTCCCCCCTTGGTTTTTGTGCAGCTTATGTTGTTGAAAAAAAATTGCATGCAGAATTGTGAGCTCACTCCTCTGGAACTCCCTTATATCTCTACCTCTTTGGCAGTCTCCAGCTCCAACCTCTGTCTCCTCAGTGCAGCAAGACTGCAGAAGTCTTGCTTTTGGCTCATGCTGTTCACAGCTTCAGGAACTAGAAAATTCTTCTAGGGAACGAGGCGGTCAATGTAGGCTCCCACGGATGGGCTTCCAGTTCTGGGATCTTAGCCCTGTCGGTCCTATCTGCCTTTGTTGTTTCTGAAGCCTTTAATCATTTGCTTTATGTAATTTCTTCAGAGTTGATACTTGTTCTCTGTGGGAAAATAGATCTGATCCAGGCTATTCTGTTGTGACCAGAAGGGAAAGTCTTTCACTGTACTTAGAATAAAGTCTCTGTTCCTTTTCTCTGGCACATAAAACCCACCCTGGTCTACCTCCTGACTGTCTCCTTCATACCTTGTTCCCTATGCCCCATAGCTCCAGCCACACTGGATTTCCTTTTTCGAATGTATTAAGCTTTTTCTTGTCTAAGGGACTTTGCACTAACTGCCTGGGCTGCTCTTCCCCAGATTTTTGAATAGCCAGCTCTTTGACATTATTGCATCTCATAAAATATCATAAAAGATTTCCCTCTCTTTCTAAGGCAGCCCCAGTCACTCTCTTTTATTTTCATCATTGCACATTTCAGTCACTATCTGAAGTTACTTTATTTACTTGCTTTATTTTCATCTCTCCATTATAGTGCAAGCTATATTCCTGCCCGGTGTGCAGTAGAGTCTCAGTAAATATCATTTGAATGAATAAATAAAATGAATAACATAAGCACTGATTCTAGAAAGAGTTTTTCAAATTCTTTGAAAACTCGGGAGGTATAAAAAACCACAATTTTTTGGCCTTTAATTATCTTTTTATATGGAATAGTCTTTAGTACCACTTTTATACATTTATGGTGTAATGATGACTAACATTTTGTTCATTCTAATGATCTGATCTTGAACTATGTTTTTATATATAAAGATTGTGATATATTGATGATCATACTAGTGTTAATTATATTTTTGTTCAAATTCTGTAGAAATATATAATCTGTGCTAACACATCTCTATCACCCAAAATAAGTACAACTTTGTTCTTGGCATGACATGATACGGCTTTTTAAGAAAGTGACATTTTCTATCTTTATTTAACAGGAATGGTTTTTAGGAAAAGCATTACATGACGAAGAATCTACAATAATTCACCATTATGCCTTTTCTGAAAATCCTACAGTTTTTAAATATCCAGACTTCGCTGCTGGCTGGGCCCTTAGCATTCCACTTGTAAACAAGTAAGAACTTATTATACTTTCCTTTGGGGTGGAGGTGTGGACCAACCAACCTTTATTTCACTGAGTACTGTAACTGATGGCTCTTAGGATCGCAAAGAGGTTTTCAGCCAGAGATAGTGTGTGGTAGAATGAACAGACTCAACAAAGAGCCAGTTGCCCGAAGGGTCTTGCTTCAGTCTGCCACTAACTAGACCCCTCAGACAAATCACTCGGCCTCTCTGTACTTCAACTTACTTACCTGCAAAATAAAGCAAATAAGAAGTTGTGAGATGCAGAGAGAGCACGGAAGAGCTCTGAGGACAATGCACAAGAAACTTCCTCACTGTTATGCAGGGAGCCAGTGAGTTGTAGATATGACTTTGATCACCAGTAATAAAATGAGTCAGAAACATGGGTTTGGGAGTTGATGGCTAATTATGCACATGGATATGGGCAGGAGGGACAGCGGGCAGAAGGCACTGAGGGTAACCATCCGCAGCTGTTGGTGTATATAATTGCAGTGGTGCTTGTTAGATATGGAGAGTAAAGTTGATTAAGTTGTTATTCTGGAGAAATATGGTTGTCAACAGGCCTTTTCTTAGTCTGAATACTTCAGATGAATTATTATGTGCTTCTGTTCCTTAGGGAATGAAAAGTTGATAAAGCATTTGTGGCCTTTATATCCTCGGAGATTAAAGGGTTTCTATCATTAAGCGTCCTGTTTCCAGGGTTTGGAGTCTTAACCTTTTACCCTCTCAGAAAAAGAAAAAGGTGCAGCTTGCTGTCGCGTTTGTTTAATTTTACATAAGCACACTCTTTGAGGCTGCAGCAAATCTCGCTGGTTTTCAATGTGAAAATAAAATATAAAAACTGTTCTTGGAGTTACTTCTAAACAAAACTTGTCTCTAATCCTAAGGAGAATTACTTTAAAAAAATCTCGAAGTTAATGCTCCAGCCACAGGCACCGTCGGCAGGTATCCTCGGGTTAAACAGGGAAAGGGTTAAAAAATGTTCTTAGCTCATTGTGGATATACAGGGTATACCTTGTCATTCATGGCTGGCTAAAACTCTTGACTACTCCCTTCACATTTGAAAGTTCCCTTCTGTGTAATACCTTCTCCATTGTGGAATCAAAACAAACAACAAAAACCCCCATGTTTTCCAGACTTCCTGACTACTTGGGAGCAGCTGTATGTTATAGGTTGTATCAGGTAGATGTGCTGTATAAAATTCTTTTTGAGAACTGAGTTTTCTGTGTTTGGTATTTTGGTTTTTTTTTTTTTGAGCCAGGGTCTCACACTGTCACCCAGGCTAGAGTGTGGTGGCACAATCATGGCTACCACAGCCTCTACCTGTTGGACTCAGGCGATCCTTCCATCTCAGCCTTTCAAGTTGCTGGAAGTACAGGTGTGCACCCCCACACCTGGCTAATTTTTTTTTTATTGTAAAGATGAAGTCTTGCCATGTTGCCCAGGCTGGTCTCAAACTCCTGGGCTCAAGCAGTCCTCTCACCTCGGCCTCTCAGAGTGCTGGGATTATACATGTGAGCTGCTGCATACTGCTAGAACGGAGTTTTATGAGGGAATATTGGCTTAGGAAGTCGTGGCAGAGAAAGGGTTATTTGAAAGCTGAGACTGGCTTTCTGATCGGAGCAGAGTTTGAATCTCCTGTGCTGCTTATTTCTGTGGTGCAAATCTGGGGGTTGTTCTTGGAAGCTCAGCTTAGAGTCTCTTTACTCTGACTTTCCGGTAATTCTGTAAGCCATCCGTATGACTTCATAAATGCACTTCATGCTGTAACTAGCCAGAGTGGACTCTTTTGTCTCCAACTAAGAGCCTTGACTCATGTACCCAGTCCAGGAACTGCCAGGCAAAGATGCACCTCTTTCAGCTCTTACCAAGCATGCCTAAGAGGATCTGCTCATAGATGCTGTCTTCTCACTGTCTCCTCATTCAGTGAAAGGGGCAAGAGAGCTCTTTGGAGTCTCTTTTATAAGGGCACTAAACCCATTCACCAGGGTGCCATCCTCATGACCTAGTCACCTTCCAAAGACCTGCCTCCTAATGACATCACTTTGGGGGTTAGACCATCAACATGGTGAATTTTGAGGGAACACAAATGTTCAGACCACAGCAGAAGGGAACTGTGGCTAAGGGAATTAGGACCAGGAGTCTGAGCTTTGCACAAAGTTCAGGAAATTTCCAGGACTTCCCTATAACTCCGACATGGTAGAGGAATGAGCCGTCAGATAACTCTCTGCATTCTCTATCATCTGCTCTTCACAATGCTGAATAGTGGCCAACAAACCCTAGAGTGTTTATAGCTCATTAATATCCATGATCTTCTTCCTACCTCCCCTCCCTTTTTCCTGCCAGCAAAACAGAACAAAATAATAATACAGACTCTACCATAGTGCCAAATTCAAAAGTTGAGTTGTCTTAGACCATATTTCCTTGTGTTCTTAATGAAGACAAGTAATCAAGTAAATAGAATGCTATAACCCATCTGGCATAGCAACTATCTTTATTTTATTTTATTTTATTTTTGAGTCGGAGTCTCACCTTCGCCCAGGCTGGAGTGCAGTGGCACACTTATGGCCACCACAGCCTCGACCTGCTGGACTCTGGCGATCCTTCCACCTCAGCCTTCCAAGTAGCTGGAACTACAGGCACACGCTACCACACCGGGCTAATTTTTGATTTATTGTAGAGATGAGGTCTCGCCAAGTTGCCCGGGCGGGTCTCGAACCCACGGGCTCAGGCAGTCTACTCGCCTTGGCCTTCCAAAGGGCTGGGATTACAGACTGAGCCATTGATCCCAGCCAAGATATATTTTAAATGGTTTTCTTCTAAGAGATTCTTATTTATTCTTCAAGGAGTTGATATTGTACTTAGAACTAAAAGAAGCACAAAGCTTCTATTAGTCCCATCAATTACAAGTTGGTTTTCCTAATTTCAAAGCTTATGTACTGACTTTATTTCCTCCTTTTTTTTTTTTTTTGAGTTGTATTCTTACACTGTCGCCCAGGCTGGAGTGCAGTGGCACACCCATGGCCACCCCAGCATCGACCTGCTGGGCTCCTGGGATCCTTCCACCTCAGGCTTCCAAGAAGCCAGAACTATAGGCCCGCGCTACCTCGCCCAGCTAATTTTTTTGATTTATTATAGAGATGAGGTCTTGCCAATTTGCCCGGGCTGATCTCTAACCCATGGGCTCAGGCAATCTGCTCACCTCGGCCTCCCAAAGTGCCATTTTCTCCTAATTATTGGAAACCGTATCAGTTGGCATGCTTTTGGATGCAAGTAACAGGAAGCAACTTAAACTGGATTAAGGAAATAGAATTGGTGTAATTGGAGGTGAGGGCTGTGGTTGGTTGATGCAGGAGTTCAACAGTATTATTGAGGACCCAGGTTCTCACTGTCTCTCCAGCCTGTAGCGTACAGCGTCAGAGTATCCTAAATATGGTTCCTTTTGTGGTTTCAAGTCAATAAAGCTACATGTTTCCTATTTATATACGACAGTAGACGGCCTGACCCTTGCCATGGAAGGTAAGTGCTCTTTCTCAGTCTGGTTGGGCCAGCTGCACTCACGAACAACCCCTGTTAACAGTTACAGGGAATTTCAGTGCTTTCATTGACCAAGAACAAGTCTTGACTCTGGAGCCCATTTAATTGTTGGGTTTAGTAATTAATCAAAATCAAAATTTGTTGAGGAAGAAGGAAGGAGAAGCTCTATATTTTGTAGACAACCAACAGTGCTCAGTCCAGGAATGCTGATTTCTTTTGCCTCTCTTCCCTGATTTCATAGCCCACATCTGAGGTAGGGTAACAATGTGTAACTAGTTAAGTATTTCTTCTGTCCAAATCCCCAGGACAACTGGATTCTTAATAATATTTTTGACACACACTTTCTTAGACTGCTTTCCACCAAAAATCTTGTTTGGCGTAGCAATTCTGCATCAGTGAGTTTTGAATTCACACTGTCCAACATTTCGTGGGGATTCAGCCACAGGATCAATTAAAAAAAAATACTTGCAACTTTGGAGAAACTTTCATTCATTTCCAATACAATGATATCTTTAAATATTTGTTATTATAGAATGCTGTTATTGGTTATCTCCACTGTTATTCTACCAGTGAATCTTACGTAGATTTCCCTCAATAGTTGCCCTGTTGACTGGTTCACCAGTGGGAAGCGTTCCTGATATTAAGTCACAGGGACCCTCCGTCTTCTGCATGTCTCTAGCATAGCTGGTTGTGCCATTAAAAACATGCATGATTTAATGCCTTCTAAAAAAATTGGGAAAGTTGAATGCCCACTGTCATATTTGGTGGGAACTGACTATTCAGTGAGGAAACATTTTATGTAAAGAACTGGAATTTCTGGACTTTATTGATTCTTGACATTGTTGGAAGAACCCTGTGTTATCTTGCTTGGTATGTAGCAAAATGGAACTTAGCACACTATTAAGGATTGCCTGTTAAGTTAGTTGGTCAGGCTGCACGCTCTTAGAACTCTAGCACATTTGCTAGGTGGCTGACCTTGGCCTGAGGTGGCATTTGAAGCTAGCTTCTCCACCAGAAGTTTGTGATGTTGAGGTAACTGTGACTGGGCTGTGGTCCACTCCATGGGCTGCAAGTGAGAGCCACTTACAGATAGCAGTGTATATGTTCCTTTGTCGTCTGTCTCAAATTCTATCAGTGGTTTTCACTTTTCCCTCCCTGAGGTGTCCCTTAAAGAAAAATTTTTAAAAATTGAATTTGAGAAAGAAACTTGAAAAGTCAAAGAAGTGGAGTACGTTTAAGGTAGCAGCTCTGAGGTGTCTATTGTCTATTAAGAAGGGGTCTGTAAAACATGGCCATCTAACAATGGATGTCACATGCCACTTGGATTCTGATCTCAACTCTGTGTCTCTTGCCTGTGGCAATACGCCCTGGTATGACTTTTCCTGTCTTTGGAGCCTGAATGAGATGAATACTTACTCTCTGTGGTCTGATCAGATTTTGAAGGCATGTGGCAAGAGTCCAAATCCCAAAGTTATCTTGATATAGTTTATTTATGAAAACTGGCTCCACTAAGCAGGATTCAAATTGGACAAGGTTCCTCTTGCCAGGGCAGTTTTTTTCTCTAAATACATATCGGGAATGTATCTGAGGATGTGTTCTCTCTGTGAGTCCTACCCCTTATACTTAAAAATCTGTGAACAGATATTGAACAGGGATATGACAGTCTTTTTTTTTTGAGTTGGAGTCTCACTCCATCACCCAGACTGGATTGCAGTGGCACACTCATGGCCACCCCCAGCACTGACCTGCTGGGCTCCAGCGACCCTGCCACCTCAGCCTTCCAGGTAGCTGGAACTACAGGCATGCACTATCACACCCAGCTAATTTTTTTATTTGATTGTAGAGATGAAATCTTCCCAAGTTGCCTGGGCTGGTCTTGAACCAGCTCAGGCAGTCTACTCGCCTCAGCCTCCCAAAGTGCTAGGATTACAGACTGAGCCACCGAGCTCAAGGACATGACAGATATTATCCCATGAGACTTGTTTTGATGCTGTCTGCTACAGAGCAATACTGGTATCAACCATGAGACAAATGCCTTATCACAAAACATAAATGTAACTTGTATCTGTTTTCTTCATTTTTCCTCTAATCAGAAGTGAATTTTTAAAGAACCCTGTGATGGCCCAATGATTAAGATGTAATCACAAACTCAGTAGTAATTTTTGAAATTCATTGCTACTCTTACTTTTAAAAAATCACTATTATTTCTTTGTAGTTAAGCTGTATTATGAGGGTTGTAATTGAAACTGATGGCCTAGTCTCCAGTTCTATAAACAAGTATGGAATTCTGTGATATTTCTGTGATTTGGGTGAGTAGGTAATTCTACCTCCGTCAACTTGGAACTGAAAAATATATTGCCCTAATTCTTTCAGGGAGTTCTCTGAGTATTCATTCTGGCCAGGTATAGTGGGTGGTACATAGCAGAGAGCATAGCACAGAGAGACAAGAACACAGCCGGTGTCAGTACTTGTGATAAAACTAACAAGGCTATGCTTTGTAGCAAAGGAAGTTCCATCTATTCTGGTGGGCAAGTCTGGAAAGGTTTCACAGAGAAGGTGCCCTTGAGTTTGGTCTTGAAAAAGACAAGTTTGCTGAGTAAAGGTTGGGCACAGGCACACCAGGCAGATGTCCGACTGGGAGGATGGTAGTGTGGTGGGGGGAGGGCGTGTGCTCTGAGTGTAGCAAGGATGTGCCAAGATGCTGGGGATGGTTGGAGGAATAGTAGGGCTCACAAGGCTGGCTCAGGAGTTTGAGGTTTTACTCTACATGGGCACAGAGTAACTGAAGTTTTTTTAAACAAGAAAATGACTTGACATCTGTAATCCCAGCATTTGGGAAGACCAAGGTTGCAAGATTGGTTGACCTCAGGAGTTTGAGACGAGCCTGGGCAATATAGCAAGACTCTGTCTCTACCAAAAAAAAAAAATTACCCCAGTCAGAGAGGGAGGGAGAGGGGGAGGAGGAAGGAGAGGGAGAGGGAAAAATCACTTGAAATAAATGTGTTATTCTTCCCCCAAACTGCATGCTTTCTGCTCCCAAAGCTCCACAATCTGTCATTCATTAAAGGAGGCAGAAAGCAGCAATGTCTGTTTCTCTCAAGCATGTTTCCAACCCCCCCCTTCCCTTTTCGTTCTTTGTCATTATTTGGGGGAAGGATTATGAGGAGACAACAAACTTCATGGCTTTTTTTTTCAAGGCATTGTATTATATTGAACACTTTGGCAGATGATAGAATAATGAACGCTGCATTTGCAACAAGTCTTGTATTCATTTCTTGGTCAATAAGCTTGCATTTTTATAGTCCTTTCCCTCAAGGAAATTAAACTCTTATTTTTATCTTTAAATGTATATGCTTATCTGTCTTCAAACATTAAGAAATCTCAAGATTGTGTTACTCTTGTTTGACACTTTTTTGGGTTAAAAAAAATCAATTTGTCTCTATTTTCTAGGCTTACCAAGAGATTAAAGAGTGAGTCCCTGAAATCCGACTTTACAATAGATTTAAAACATGAGGTATGTCGTGTTTTGTTTGGTTGAAAGTCTTAGTAATCAAGAATTCGTGTCTTTTGATGTAAAAGGTGTTTTGTATTGCTTTGCTGCATTTTCCCACCCACATTCATTATATACTCACTGAGGTAATTTCACAATACTCCAGTGAATTAGGTTCATCTACCATAAGTTCATTTGAGTTTGGTAGGTGAAGGAAGAGCAACGAGAAAGATTGCAACTCGTGATCCATGATTCTTTGGGTTGTTCTTTTTTTTTTTCTTGGTGTTTGTGTGTGTGTGTGTGTGTGTGTGTGTGTGTGTGTGTGTGTTGTTTTTGAGTTGGAGTCTCACTCTGTGGCCCGGGCTGGAGTGCGGTAACACGCTTATGACCACTGCCGCCTTGACCTGCCGGGCTCAGGTAATCCTTCTGCCTCCGCCTTTCAAGTAGCTGGAACTACAGGCATATGCCACCACCCCCAGCTACTTTTTTGATTTATTGTAAAGATGGACTCGAACCTGTGGGCTCAGGCAATCCTCTCACCTCGGTCTCCCAAAGATTCTTTGTTTTTAAGCTAAATGGATAGGTCCAGGGGTAGATTTCTAAAAACATGACAAATGTCATTATAAGTACCTCTGGTCTTACTTGGTGCTTTGGTTATACATGTAATGCTACAGATAGAATGTGCCTCACCAAACTTTCAAAATTATATGCTGAAACCTAATCCCCAATGCTGTGGTCTTTGGAGTTAGACCTTTGGGAGGTGGTTAGGTCGTGAGGGTGGAGCCCTCATGAATGAGATTAGTTCCCTTGCAAAGAGGTCCCAGAGAGTTCTCTAGCCCCTTCCACCAGGTAAGGACACAGCTAGAAGGTGCCATCCTTGAATCAGGAAATGGGCCCTCACCAGACATTGCATCTGCTGGGGCCTTGATCTTCACGGTCTCCAGAACTGTGAGAAATAAATTTCTGTGGCTTAGAAGCCACCTAGTTGCTTTGGTATTTTATTATAGCAGCCAAAATAGACTAAGATATATGCCTTTGTCGTGTGTCTGTGCTTGGCTCTAGAGCAGAATTGAGCCAGTTGGGTCTCAGGCAGGCACCCTGGTCCACCCTAACACCCCTGATTCCTTGGCATTTAGTGGACATCTGTGACCAATTATCCTGGAGGCAGGTGGCAGATGTCCCATCATTAATCATTCTTACATCTTCATTAAGAAGGCTCCTTTTTGCATTTCATTTTTGAGAATGACTGCTTGAAGCAGACTTGCCTCTCTGTGCAAGAATCTGTATCTTAGGACAATGAAGCAAATCTTGGCATAGAATTCAGTTCAGCAGTGCTAGCAGCCTTCCAGGAGTCAGAAGGGCATGCACAAGGCTTTCTAACTTCTTGGGTGTCTTTAAATGATGAGACAGCTTATTTGAGAGAAATATACTTTTAAAAAATCATTCTTCTTTTTCACAAAGAGGAAAAATTGACTTGTTTTTCTTGACCAAGATCTGCCTAGATAGGTTTAATGAAAAGTCAGCTTTGGTAGAGATACCCAGTTTTGGGAATCTAGTAAATCTTGAGTATACACAAAAGACTTTCTAACATATATGAATGCTATAAAGATGAATGAGCAAAATACCTAAGTAGTCCACCTGACTTAAGAGAGATAACATTACCAGTCACCTTGAGGCTACCTATGTACTTCTCCCTAGGGTAGGTCTCTCTCCCTCCATCTCCCCAGAGTAAACACTCTTGAATTTTCTTTCTCTCCCTTACTGTTTTTTCATATTTTATTATATATGAATATACTTCTGAATAACATAGGGCATAATTTTGTATCCTTTTGGATTTTAGAGAAACAGAATTGTACCACAAATATTCTTCTAATTTGGAACTCATATATGTTGATGCATGCAATTCTGATTAACTTATTTTCTCTGTAGTAGTTTCCTGTATGACTGTAACAATTGACCCATTCTCCTCGTAGTGGGCTTCAGGGTTGCTACCAGTTTTTTGCTATCATATTCGTTGCTTCTGTGAATATTTTTGACATGTGTTGTCGTGATCATCTCAAGGATTTTTCTAAGACTGGCTTTCAAGTTTTTTTTTTCCTTTTGACTGTGACCCACTTTTGTTTTTATCTTATTTCTTTATTTTTCTCTTTATTTTATTACTGAGATTTGGGGTGCAAGTCAGAATATTAGGTACATGAGTGTGAAGCTTTGGCCTCCAAGAAAGCACTTTCATGTGACTCAGTATATTTGTGTGTGTTGTTATTGTGTTTTTGTTATTAATTTCTAACTTATATTATTGTAGTCTATATTCAAAATACTTTTAGGCTTACTTTGTGGCCTGGTTCATATTCAGTTTTGTAAAATGGGCAAAAGGATGTCTATTCTCTGACTTGGAGTTATAGTATTCTCTTTGTTAAGAAGGCATTTATGGTGCTTTTCAGATATTTTATTTCTTTCCTTCTTTTCTTTCTGTACTTCATTGCTTCAGTCTTTCATTCTCCTTTTGTTTTGTCTGCTTATCGTTTACTAAGGGAGAAATGGGGAACTCCTCCATGGTAATGGTGGATTTAACAGTTTCTCATATGGAACTTCCAGCTCTTGCTTTGTATACTCTGAGGCTGTGTTAAGCTTAGAATTGTTACGTCTTCTTAGTGCATTTACCTTCATCTTCTAGTAACTGTTCTCTGTCTTAATGTTTCTTTCGTTGACATGAATGTTATCATACTAGCCTTCTTCTGGTGTTTGCCTCCTAATTCTTTTTCGTCTTCGTCTTTTTCTTTCAACCCTTTTGTGTCCTTATCTTTTAGCTGTGTCTCTTTTAAAGAAGATGTGTCTTTTTTGTCTCTCAGTTTGAAAATCTTTATCTTTATGCCAGATGGCAAATTTACATTTACATTGATTGTCATTACTAAAATATTTGAATTGATTTGTCACTTGATTTTGTACCCCTCTCCTTATTTTCTTTCTGTCTCGTTTGTTGTTGTTGTTGTTTGTTTTTAAGTTTATTGCCAAGACTGTACTTTCAAGGATCATTTCTAGTTTGTTCAAGTTTCTTCTTTTTAGAGTTTTTTTTTCTCCTTTAGTTTATATTTTTCTTTTTCTACTATTTTGGAATTTCAGTCTATCTGTACTTTATTGGTTATTTTAAGTATTTCAACATGTATTCTTAACCTAACAATGGCTAATTAATTAGTATTCAGAAAATTTGAGGACCTTGGGATGATTGATTGATTGATTGAGTTGAGGTCTCACTCTATTGCTCTGGCTGGAGTGCAGTGACATACTCATGACTACCACAGCCTTGACCTCCTGGGCCCAAGTGATCCTTCTACCTCAGCCTTCCAAGTAGCTGGGACTACAGGTGCATGCCACCACACCTGACTAAATTTTTGATATACTGTAGAGATGAGGTTTCACCAAGTTGCCTAGGCTGGTCCCCAATCCCCGGGCTTAGGCAATCCTCTCACCTCCATCTCCCAAAGTGCTAGGATTATAGGTGTAAACCATCACTCCTGGCCTTTAGGATGATTTAACTTTGATTCTCCCATTTCCAATTTACATGCTGTTGTTGCCTGGTATTTTTTAATCTTATTTTATCCCCCAAAATTTTGATACTTCCATTATTTTATGCTGTTAACATTTGTGTTCATTTCATCTCATATTTGCCAGTTGACCATTCCATCTTGTTTCTTAGACCTTCCAACTGGAATCATTTTTAGTCTTCCTGAAGTGCATCCTTTAGAATTTCCTTTGGTGAGATGGTCAATTCTCTTAGTATTTTTTTCTTTAAAAAATTTTCATCTTTGTTCTGGAAACCCAGTTACATCGTGTAGACCATGTTAGGTTGTCAGATCTTTTCCCTCATGACAATGGTGTGATTTCACTGTGTGCTGGCTTCTGTTATTATCGTAATGCTGAGAAATCAATTCTTAGTCTTCGTTAGTCTAATGTGGTTCCTTTGTAGATAATCTGTCATTTTTCTGCCAGTTTTTTTCCCATGAGTTGGAGTCTCACTCTGTCACCCAAGCAGGAGTGCAGTGGCACACTCAACAGCCACCCCAGAGTCAACCTGCTGGGCTCTGGTGATCCTTTCGCCTCAGCCTTCCAAGTAGCTGGAACTGCAGGTGTGCGGTCTCGCCAAGTTGCCCGGGCTGGTCTCGAACCCACAGGCTCAGGCAGTGCACTCGCCTTGGTCTCCCAAAGTGCTGGGATTACAGGCTGAGCCACCGAGCCCAGCCTCTGCCTGCTTTTAAGATTCTGAGTTCTGTTCTGTGGTTTCACTATGATATGTCTAGATACAGACTCTCTTTTCTAATCCTGCCTAGGATTCATTGGACCTTTCTATAATAGGATTATTAGGCAATTTTTGAAAATTGTCACTGTCTTTTCAGCTATGTTCTCATCCCTGTTCTCTCTGTTACTTCCTCCTGGAACTTTAGATGTATGAACCTCTCTTTCACAGTTTTTATCTCTGTTTGTTGCTGTGCTGCCTTTTAAATAATTTTGGGACTGGGTTCGGTGGCTCAGCCTGTAATCCCAACACTTTGGTAGCCCGAGGCGAGTGGATTGCCTGAACCCGCGGGTTTGAGACCAGCCCAGGCAACTTGGGAAGACCACATCTCTACAATAAATAAAAAATTAGCTGGGCATGGTAGCGCGTGCCTATAGTTCTTGCTACTTGGAAGGCTGAGACGAAAGGATCGCTGGAGCCCAGCGGGTCAACGGTGGGGTGGCCGTGAGCGTGTCACTGCACTCCAGCCTGGGCAACAGAGTAAGACTCCGACTCAGAAAAAAAAAGATAAAAATAGATAAAATAAATAAATAATTTTGGGGACTTCATTCTTTAGTTCCCTAATTTGGTATTCACCTGTGTCCAATATGGTATTTATGCTAGCCATTAAATTTTTAATTCATTTTTGTTTCTTGAAGTTTTATTTAGTTATTTTTCAAATTTGCTTTCTTATCTTTTATGACCCTTTCAATGTAATCTTTGCTCATATTTTAAAGTTTTTCTTTTCTTTCTAAAATACATTAAGCATAGTAATTTTGTGATCTGCAGTCCTAGTGTCTGAAGTCTTTTGGGTCAGATTAAGTTGTGTCTGCTGGCTCTTGGTTGTCATCTCATTTCTTTATACTTTTTGTGATGTTTCTCTGAGTATTCTTGTTTCTTTGGGAAAAATCATCTGTGGCCTATCTTAAGGTTGCGGTTCCTCAGTGAGGGTTTATATTAGCTTCTGCCTGCTGCTAGCAGGTTATACTGACGTGAGACCACATTACATTATCTGTTTGAGATGGTTTTGAACCTCATAGGTACCATAAATTAGGGAGGCCTAGCTTTTGGTTACAGAATCTGACAGGAGATTTAGAGATTACTTTGTCTCCTCCATTCAGATCCAGGGGCCCATCTTTACGTGGGTACTTGCTGCTAACCCCGCCCCTTGGGCAGGCTCAGTGACTTCACCATGTCAGAGACTCAGTGTTACCCAGAGTCAGCTGATACCTGTCGGGGATAACCATCCTCGGTGCCCTTTTCCCCTTTTGTCCTCACAGTTTCCACACTTTGTACCGACTTAACTTTGTATTGAAAATGATTTTACTCAAAAGTGGGCCCTGAACACCTATTATAATACTACAGAAAAGGGATTGGCAGTAGCGGGACACTGTGGGGGACGAGGGACGGACACATAGCATCAATAAGGGTGCCTGGTTCTAATCCAGGTAAAGTGACGTCCAATGGGAGGCCCAAAACTTTATCTGTACCTAAACCACTTTTGTATGCACTCCTGACTTGTAGCCAGCAACTTTAAAATTGATTTAAGTTAACTTGTGAGAAGAATATTATTTTAAAGACATTTTATCTATTCTCGGTGTTTTCAACAAGTCAGCTATTCATCTGTAATGACCACACTGCAGGAAGCTCGAGCCATGATCATATTTTCTTGCATCTGTGTGTGTGATGTTTCAGTATGCGTTCTTCCCTAAAACGCTCCTTAACAACCTTGGAATTTTTTAGAGATCAGCATATTGGTTCCTAGTTCATTGCATGTTGTTAATAAAAGGTTAGATTGCTCCACATGGAATTACCATTTTTTGAGTGAAAAAGACTTCTGTTGAATATTGACAGATTGATATAGTTCACTCCAGTCCTCTCTATGGAAGGCATGTCCTGCTTTCCCTTGAGTCTTTTGCCCCGTCTTATACCTGTGGTGTTGGCTGAATTCCTTCTTCGTTGCCTGTCTCCTGTCTTGTGACAGATTGCCCTCTACATCTGGGACAAAGGTGGAGGACCTGCCCTGACCCCAGTGCCTGAGTTTTGTACAGATGCTGTGGACCACTACTGTGCCACTACCTTCCATTCTTTTCTACCAAGTTGTGTAAGTAATAGAAGGAAAACTTCCTCACATGTCAAAGGAAAATTTACATGCTGTGCGCAAAATGTCCTCCTGGAACTTTACCTACTGGAAAAAAAATCAACATTTACCCTGGTCCAGGTGAGGACTAATAAATATCACGTCTCTAGTAATAGCACCCCTGTAAGGTAAGGACTGTTGTGACCTCATCTTATAAAGAAGAGAGAGGCACAGAGAAGTTAAGAGGTTGCTTAAGGCTGCACAGCTAGCGGGGAGGGAAGTGAGGTTCTGACGGGCTCCCTCCCGTTCCGACACCTTTGTGAGATACTGCCTGCCACAGCTTTTTAGGATCGGTGTGCCCAGAGTCATTTGTGTTGTTGATAACGTAGGGTGCATTGATTGGAATTTCAGTCTCGTTTCCTGGAAAGTCAATTTCCAGCGTTTTCTGGGACACCCAGTCCTCCTCCTCAAGTCCGCCCCCTTCATCCTTTCAGCAGGTGGCCTTGCCTTTGCTCTCCCTGTGACCATCTAGAACTTTCAGAGTGAACTTGTTGACTGTGGGGGACCCCTGGTCCAGGCCAGGATGAGCCCAGAAACCCTGAAGCTTGCTAGGTTGTTAACAGTTTTTTCTCATAAGGGAAAATACATTCGCCCACCCCACATGTTGTCTGTTATTCTCAAATCAGTCACACAAAAGTCTGTGTGTACCATTTTCAAAGATAAATATACAGAAACACAGCACAGTGCTATGATAGGAGAGAATCTGTGGTGTGTGTTCAGTTCCTGACGGGGGAAGCCCAGTCTTTCTAGACGTAATGCTGGCTTGCCCTTTAATGTCATCCTAGTACCGTGAGTGGTGTGACAGCCGTAGTTAGATATTGCTATAAACCAGCCCCAAATGATTAAGGAGTCACAATTAAAAATTTTACAGGCTGAAGACAAGTAATAAAGGGGTCATGAAGGCCTGGGGTGCACACTGTTGACAAATCTCTCTGTGTGTTCCTTTCATCTGTGTGATCAGCCTAGGCTCCAGAATTTCCCCACCCCACCCAGGTGTTCGAAGTGATCCTGCCTTTGGCAAAGAACAGAACATCCTTAGACTAAACTAGTGAAAGGGCCATAAAAATACTTTAAATATCAAAGTAAGGCCAGGCCCAGGATAGGGCGTTATCTCTTATTTTGCACTAAAAGACCCCCCCCCTTTGTCAAAATCTTCACCATCTGGAAAAGGAAACGAGAGGAGGCTGATCAACTAACATTTATTGGCCACCTACTATGTGCTTGATAAATTATATTTTCATAGCAGCCTCATAGTGGTTATTATTTCCTTTTTCTTTTTGGGCTTGGGGGTGGTCGGAGTCTCACTCTGTCGCCCAGGCTGGAGTGCAGTGGCACGTTCATGGCCACAGCAGCCTAGACCTGCTGGGCTCAGGAGATCCTTCCACCTCAGCCTTCCCAGTAGCTGGGAACCACAGGCATGCACCACCATGCCCGGTTAACTTTTTTGATTTGTTGTAGAGACAGAGTCTTGTCAAGTTGCCCAGGCTGTTCTCAAACTCCTGGACTCAGGCAATCCTCTCACCTCTGCCTCCCAAAGTATTGGGATTACAGGCATGAGCCACAGTACCTGGCCACCTTATTTCTAATTTTTTTAAATGAGCAAACTGAAGTTCCACTAGTTTAGGAAACTTGTTAAGTGGGTGCACAGTCTGTGCACTGTAAATCTGGGAGGCAGGTCCAGGATTGCTGACCTCAAAGGCTATGTTGTCAATCAAACTTTCTTCCCTGAAACTTGATCCCAGAAGTAGGTTTGATATCCTTGTCATTGGTTAATATGAACTCTAGAGCATGTGAGATCTAATACGGGTGTGAAATTAAGACAGCGTTGACTCATGTGTGTATGTATTTTTTCTTTTCTTTTTTTTAGGCAAAGCCAGTGAAGAAGGAGGATATTTTTGTTGCCGTAAAAACATGCAAGAAATTTCATTTTGACAGAAGTATGTTTGGGGTTATTCATTTTTGTCTGAACTTTAAAAATCTAGTCTGCCTATAAAAAAATACAAGCCAGGGATAAATTGCAAGAAAGGGATGGTGACCAGTAGGATGTTGAAGGGAAGGGAGTTATTTAATCAGTATTCCTCATCACACCCCTTCAGTCGCCAATTAGTAAGGGCAATTTTGTATTAAAATATGAGTAGTCGGCTGGGCATGGTGGCTCTCCCTCTAATCCCAGCACTTTGGGAGACCGAGGTGAGAGGACTGCCTGAGCCCATGGGTTTGAGACCAGCCTGGGCAACTTGGCGAGACCTCGTCTCTACAATAGATCAAGAAAAAGTGAGCCGAGCATGGTAGCGCATGCCTGTAGTTCCAGCTACTTAGAAGGTTGAGGCCAAAGGATCACCTGAGCCCAGTAGGTTGCAGTGACAGAGTGAGACTCCATCTCAAAAAGAAAAAAAAAGTAGTCATAGCCAATACTGTTTATAGTAGTATTTTATTTTTATTTTTATTTTTGAGTTGGAGTCTCACTCTGTCACCCAGGCTGGAATAAAGTGGCATGCTCACAGCTACTGCAGCCTCTACCTGCTGGGCCCATGCGACCCTTCTGCCTCAGCCTTTCAAGTAGCTGGAACTACAGTCACGCCTGGCTAATTCTTTTTGATGTATTGTAGGGACGAGGCCTCACCAAGTCACCCAGGCTGGTCTTGAACCTGTGGGCTCAGGCAGTCCTCTCACCTCAGCCTCCCAAAGTGCTGGTATTATAGGCATGAGCCACTGTGCCCAACCTACAGTAGGATTTTGCTTTGGAAGTAGAAAAGTTCACTGTGGCAGTCTGACTGTGCATTTTGTCAAACAGTGTTCTATTATGTCTTTGAACCATATAAGGAATATCAGAGAGGATTGCAAGTTAACAGAGAGCGAACAAAGAATGGTTTCTTGAGGACGGTTTTTTCTTTCTTTCTTTCTTTCTTTTTTTTGAGTTGGAGTCTCACTCCATCGCCCAGGCTGGAGTGCAGTGGCAAGCTATTTATTGTAGAGACGAGGTCTCTCCAAGTTGCCCAGGCTGGTCTCGAACCCCAGGCTCAGGCTATCCATTTGCCTTGGCCTCCCAAAGTGCTGGGATTACAGGCTGAGCCACCAAGCCTGGCCTGTTTTTTCTTTTTATATTTATTTCAGATGCACAAACTGGAAATTTTAAATAAAGATATGTATTTGCTCACGAGTAGATATATTGGAGAAAAGGGAAAAAAACTGCCTTAGAAACAGTGATCTCCTCTTAAGGAATCCTGGCATGCAGATGAATGTTGTTTTTAGTCAAATTTTTGGTGTCATTACAGAATTCTGCTAAGTTATGATGATAATGTAAAAAAAAAGTCCGTCCTACGTATAAATAGATTTTTTTTTTCTCTTTTTGCACCTTATTTCAAGTAGCACTTTTCTGAAATTGAAAATTAGGCAGACTTCTACATTTTCTAATTTTAGCACATATTTTATTTTTTTTCCCACGAAAAGACTGTCGATTTCACCAAGAATGTGATATTTATGTAGGAGAGATTTCTAAACCAGCTGTCATTTTTATGGGATTGGAGCTCTGGGGAAGTTCAGTTATATATTTTAGGTGATAATATGATACATACAGATATTTTAAAGGTAAGATATTTTTCAAATAAAACATTACAATTTGAGATTATATTGTCTGAGCCATCAATATTAATTAAAATTCATTTATAATCAATAATATCTTAAAAGTACACTAACTATAAACCTTCATGTTTGCCTAAAATAGTCATGGTACATTCTAAATCCTGTTAAAACAGCCTAAATAAATGTATGCATTTGTTATACAGAGTCCCAAAATACTATGAAGAATCAGCATAGCAGTTAAAATAAAATTTTCATTTATCATCCATTTTCTTGTAATCTGGAAGGGCTTTGTGGGATTAATTTGACAAATATCTTTTTTAAAAACATGTCGGGGAAATAACTAGACTGCCTTTTAATTTTATTTCTTTTATAGCAAGCAGAAGGATTCGAATTGATTTGATTGATCTTGAAGCTACACTTGGAGTAGTGATTGTTTTCATAATATTAATGATAAGAGTGACGGTGGTAGTGTTATTATTTTTCTTTGAAACATTTTTCAAGTGACAGTGAAGTGGTAGAATTAGGGACACTCCTCACTGTGGTTTTTGGATTCTATAGAAACGAAAAAAAGCTTGCTAATTTTAATTCAGTAATTTTTGAATAATCTAGTTTACTACTTTCATATTTTGCGTACGGTTGAGATCATCTTTTTAGATCCCTGCAGAATGCTTTTGTTTGAATTTTGAGTCAGAGGTCTTTGAAAATTACAATTTTATTTATTTATGTATGTGTTTACTTATTTATTTTTTGCATTGGAGTCTAACTGTGTTGCCCAGATTGGAGTGCAGTGACACACTCCCGGCCACTGCAGCCTCGACTGTTGGGCTCTACTGATCCTTCTGCCTCAGCCTGAACATTATAATTTTAAAAGCCCACTGGGAGCATTAAAGGCAAACTTCCCCAAGCCAGATGCATTGAATTGCTGCTATTCATTTGAATCTGGCACCATTGAAACATGAGACCTAAAAAGTATCATGAAGCTTTGACATTTGGATTTCAGTGGCAAGCCCCTTTTCCACTTGGCTGTGTTTGTTAGAAAAGAAGCGTAAGACAGCAGGATTTTAGGGACTTTGATGTCCATTTTGCACAACGACAGTGAAGCCTGTCAGACCACTGAGCTCTGCCTCTCCTTTTAGAAGTCAGGTCGATCCACCAGTTGGCCCAAAGAATTATCCAGTTATCTGTTACAAGGACAGTGCCACAGTAACTGCTTCTAACTGCTAATCTTTTTTACATTTTCTGGTATGTTTTTAACACACGTTCCATCATCTAATTGCATTTGACAGTTCCTTGTGATGTGATAATTATTGTTATTTACTTGAAGTTGTAGAGTAAGTGGAGTATGAAACACAACTGGCCCGATTTCTTGTAGCCCATTGAGTTGGGGAGCCAAGGACTTGGATTTTCTGGCTCTTAAATCCCCAGTGCTCTTTCTGCCACATCACAGCTGTACTGTAATCTCCTTGGACGATTTACAAATTCAACTCTTGATAAATAGTCTTTGATATTCAAGTTGATGCCCTGCCATGCTCAAGGTCAGTTTTGAGTTGGCCGGAAGCCATGAAAGTAGGCTCTTCATTTTCAGTAGCAATGGGGATGGCCAGGAATTGAAGCCCACACAGGATCTAAAGTACAAATCGAACTGGGAACTTTGACTGCCACTCCTGTCTAAGCTTATCACTGCTACACTCAAGCAGAAGACATGGTCTGGGGTGTTTTCTTCATTTTTCTTTCCCTGTATATGTACTCTATGATAAAATACTCAAAGTAACAAAGACCAAATGATGATGGGGAAAATAATAGACAAACTGTATCTCTACAAAATTGAGAGTGGGTTATACTGTTACTTGTGGTCACACTGTCCCTGGGTACTGAGCAGAGGACACTGGCAGTGGTCCTCACTCCTGGTCCATTGTAGTGTTGGTTACCTCCTGGGATAAAGATGAGAGACAGAACACGTTCCCTTCAAGGTTCTGGTCACAGCAAGGGGAAATATATGTTGAATTCATTTTTTATACTCTCATGGAAGAATTGATAATAAAACCAAGTTCCAAAATGAAAATATTAACTTTTTTTTCGGTCTAACAGTTAAATATTTTTTATCCCTTTTCCCAATCCAAATCATGTGCAAACACTGACATTGCAGTATTAAATTTAAGTGTTTAATTACGTAAGTAAGCAAATTGAGTCCAACTCAGACAAACCCTTACATATAAAATACAGAGTACATCATTTTATAATCCATTATTCATCATCCACTTTGAAGAAAAAACTGAGCTCTGAACATCTACTAAAATTATCACCCGATTACTCATTAAATATTATTTTTATACGTTAAAATGTAACTTTTTTGCAACCATAGAGATAGTTCTAAAGATTTCAACATGTCAAAATAGTGAAAGAGATACTAAATAATAGGACTGGTGAGAGACAAAGAAAGAAAAAAAATTTTATTTTCTAGGAAGATAATTCTAAAGATTTTGTCTGGATTCTGATTTAAAGGAAACATAGCATTCTTATAACACAGTAAGCAAAAATATATTGTCTTTCACTCGAGAAAGTAATACATGTTGACACCATTGAACCAGCAACACTCTATGAGAGGCAAGAAACTTGAAAAGTATTACATAAGGTGACAAATTGGGCACAGCCTGTAAATTATATTTAAGCAGGGAAAGGATCACTGGAGCTTGAATATTCAGCTTGATTATTTCCTCTTGGGTTGTTATGTTTTCCATTGTGTGATATGAGCGTTTGAAAAACCTTCAGCGTTTTCTTTGCCACACAGTTCATGTGTACACTCGTTACCTTGTGGCAGCCACCATTTTGTTCATCAAATGGTGGGTTTGGGGACGCTTTTCTGCAGTTTCTCTCTGAAACTTTCACACCTTTTCACACCTTCCTGTGCTTGTAAAAATTAGCACCTCATTCCTTTCAGATCTGAAAAAACTGGTTGCTGTCTTTACTGCTATGATCTTGTCTAGAAGAGGCAAATCCGAACACGCTGATTAAAGGGAGTGTTTGATGGCTGGTATTCTCTTTGATTAAAGAGGCTTACAGGTACTGAGGTATGATCTGCCTATTTAAAAGGCGAGGGTTGAGTTAAAATGCAGCCAAATGGGAGGCCACACTCCAATCAGATGAGGTGATTAATTATTGAGGTGCTGAGGGGGGTTGGGTGTTGCCTGGCTAGTTCTTTACTTGGCTGTTGGATAGCTATTGTTCTAGACTGTCCTAAAATGTGGTTTTAGGTCAGCCAGGAGGGACGTTTCCCAGTCTGTTACGCCTCAGTCTTTAAAAAGAGGAATTAGAGCACACTCTTTGTTGTGTGTGTGTGTGTCCCTAACCTTCCCCTGGGAGGAGAAGTGTGATCAGGGTTTTATTTTGTGGCCACCGTCTTGCACACAGAGACAAAAGGTCCATCCACCAATCGAAAATACGAATTCCTTGAAGTCCAGACAGCCATTCACATTTGATTATGTGGTAGTTTTTAGAAAGTGTTCAAGCACCAAGTTCATTTTCATTTGTAATCTGAGACAATTCTGCAAGTCACTTTCCCGGGGGGTAAAAACGTGTGTTCTGTTCTCACAGTGAGATACGTCTCCTGTTTAGAGTCTAGAAAGCTCTCAGAAAGATTTATGCCATCTGTGCAGCTGGAATTTTTTTTTTATAGTAAAATTTTTACTTTGCCCCAGGTTTAAGTTATTCTGTAGCAAACTTTCTTGAAAGAGGCATTCATTGTTATTTTATTATGTGGTAGAAAATATGCTTCTCTTTATTGAAAATGAGATATTGGGTAACTACATCGAAGTATTTTTTAAAGTTTAATTTTTTTAGGAATACAGTACCTCGATATATTTTGTAAATAAAAGAATGAATTCATTTGAGAATTTAAACAGTGCTAATAAGATAGACTAATATTTTAAAATTTTAATTTAGAATCAGTCTTGTTGAAAATAAATCCTTGGCCTGCTATTGAAGAAGACTTATCCTCAGCTTTAAGTTTTTTACAGCTAGTGACAAAAGCATGGAAGTTATATTGACAAGGGGAGAGACAATACACGCTGTTTTATGCTTTAGGTATTGAAGAATCATATCTTAGCATTTTGAAAGGGTTGACTGATTTTAAAATGACTAATAGGGGTGGTACCAGTCTCGTACCAAAGAATGACTTGCCATTATGAATAAAACCTTCACTTTAACTAGTTGCCTAAAATAGGCCTAAGCCTTCGATTGAAACTCTTAGAAAATTCAGCCCTCATTCAGCTACTTAATTGAGCACTTACTATAGCCAAGGCATTGTGCCAGGCCTTTGGGAATGAGTCATACACACAGCACTTCTTACCTTGAGCGCAATTTCTGTTTCAAACAAAAACTGAAAGGCTGTAGTTAGGTATAGCAGTCACAGAGCTAACTCACACTTGATTTTGATCTTAATTTTTTTTAAGTCAGTTAATTGAGAAGAAACACCTGTGCTGTTTAATAAACCTATTAGAACAAGAAGGACTCAAGGCCTAGAGGCTGAGGAGATTGAAGGTAGAATTTGCCCAGCCTTCATAACCCGTGCTGGGGACTGAGGAAAGTCCTTTACCTTGCTTCCCAGCTTCTTTCGGTATTAGGTAGTAGAGGGCATTTAACCCAAGAGTATGAGCTTTTAGTGACTGCAAGCTGCAGGGAGCCCTTCCTGGGAGTAAGTTCTCTTCTTTATTATATGCAAAGCAAACCACCAGTGCAGTGCCAGAGTGAAGATTTTTTTTTTTTGAACTGGAGTCTCACTGTCACCCAGACTGGAGTGCAGTGGCATGCTCCCGGCCACCGCAGCCTCCACCTGCTGGGCTCTGGCGATCCTTCCACCTCAGTCTTCCAAGTAGCTGGAACTACAGGCACGTGCTACCACACCCGGCTAATTTTTTGATTTATTGTAGAGATGAGGTCTCGCCAAGTTACCCAGGCGGGTCACGAGCCCGTGGGCTCAGGCAATTCACTCACCTCAGCCTCCCAAAGTGCGGGATTACAGGCTGAGCCACCGAGCCCGGCCAAGTGAAGATTTTTGTTGTGCTGAAATTTGGAAGAAGAACAGAATGAGTTTTTAAAAAATATTTCTTCTCTGTCCCCTAGCAGCCCTGTTATTTAGTACTTCTTTCACCATTCTGACATGTTAGCATCTTTAGAACTCTCTTCCTCTCTATGGTTGCAAAAAGGTTGTATTTTAATGTATAAAAATAATATTTAATGAGTAATTGGGTGATCATTTTAGATGTTCAGAACTGAGTTTTTTTCTTCTTCAAAGTGGAAGAACAATGGGTTATAAAATGATGCACTCCTATATTTTATATATAAGGGCTTGTCTGAGCTGGATCAGAAATTGCTTATTTATGTAATTAAACACTTAAATTTTGCACTGCAATGCCAGTGTCTGCACACAATTTGATTTAGGTTGGGAAAAGGGGAAAAGACACATGATCTGATAAAGTCTCTCAGAAAGTTAAATGAATATTTGGTTCATTGGAGTTTAGATTCTTATATTAACCAGGTATAAAATCTAAATATTTTCTTTCTATTAAAAAATCCCCAGAAATCCCCTCTTAAAATTCAGAGATTCATAGACAGTAATTTTAACTAGAGTAGAAAATAATTACTTGGATAGTTGGTCAGGTGAATTAGTATCAGGTGAATCAGTGATCAGTCTATATATAAGATATTCAGGCAGAGGTACTTTTTTTTTTTTTTTTTTTTTTGCCAGAGTCTCACTCTGTCACCCAGGCTAAAGTGCAGTGGCATGATCACGGTTCACCGCAGCCTCAACCTCCTAAGCTCAGATGATTCTTCCACCTAGCCTTCCAAGTAGTTGGGACTGCAGGCATGTGCCACCATGCTTGGCTGTTTTTTAAATTTTATTTGCGTAGAGACGAGGTCTCAGTATGTTACCCAGGCTGGACTCCTGGGCTCAAGGGATTCTCCTGCCTCAGCCTTCCAAAATGCTGGAATTATAGGTATAAGCCACTGCACCCGGCCAGAATTACCTTTGAGTATCTAAACTAAAATATAGAAAACAAACAATTTTCTGTTGTTTGTGTTTATGGTATTAAAGCAATTTGGCTGTTAATAATAGACTATTACAGTCTGCAGTGGTTTCCGTCTTATTTCCTCCACATTTTTCAAAAGTAATCGTGTCAGCCATCATATGCAATGATTCTCAATGGCAAGGTCATGCCGTTGATAGAGTGGAGTAGTCCTGTTAGAACATTTGGCTGGGAACATGTATAGTTGGCAAAGGTCTTCCCATACTTCGTGGTGAGAAGGATGAACCACACTGAGTGTTACAGTCCTTAGAAGTACAGAGGGGGCCAAAGAATAGATGCATATTTTACAAAAGGAAAAAACTGTATTAAAATTGCAATACTCAATATATACCCACGACAAAAGATGAAGACAAGCCACGTTTGACTTCTGCAGTTACAAGAGGTGCTCAAAGTGGTCACTGTCAGCATCAGTTATGGCACACTACTGCAGGACTTACGTGTTGCAAATTTGTCACGTGTTGCAAATTTGTCACAAATGCATACAGTTGTTAGGTGCGTTGGAGATTCTGTTGCGTACTTACGTCTCCATTGTCGTTGTACTTCCACAATGTTCTCGAATTTCCAATACCATGTCAAAATGGTCTTGCGCTCCTCAAATGACAACCATGCTTCTGCCATTTTCTTTGACTGTCCTGTCACATGGTAACACCAGCATTCATTTGATTAACTCCATTTTTTGAACGAATGTCATGCTACACATTGCTACCATAATTCAACTCAACCTCAAAAAGTCATACATAGATAGCATCTCTTAAAATGTGTATATATTTGTAAGCTGGGCTCAGCGGCTCAGCCTGTAATCCCATGCCTTGGGAGGCTGAGGTGAGTGGATTGCCTGGGTTCGAGACCTGCCTGGGCAGGCGAGACCTCATCTCTACAATAAATCAAAAAAAATTAACCGGGCGTGGTAGCACACGCCTGTAGTTCCAGCTCCTTGGAAGGCTGAGGTGGAAGGATCGCCAGAGCCCAGCAGGTCGAGGCTGCGGTGGCCAGGAGTGGACACTGCACTCCAGTCTGGGTGACAGAGTGAGACTCCAACTCAAAAAAAAAAAAACAAAAAGATGTGTATACTTTTTTTTTTTTTTGGCACTCCTGGTATTTATATTCTCTGCCTGCCCCAAAACACATTTAAATAATTTGACTGTAGCCAGGCTTGGTGGTTCAGTCTGTAATCCTGCGCCTTTGGGAGGCTGAGGTGAATGGATTGCCTGAGCCCGTGGGTTCAAGACCCGCCTGGGCAGCAAGACCTCATCTCTACAGTAAATCAAAAAATCAGCCGGGTGTGGTAGCGCATGCCTGTAATTCTGGCTACTCAGAAGGCTGAGGCGGAAGAATCGCCAGAGCCCAGCAGGTAGAGGCTGCGGTGGCTGGGAGCGGCCACTGCACTCCAGTCTGGGCGACAGAGTGAGACTCCAACTCAAAATAAATAAATAAATAATAATAATAATAATTTGATTGTGGATAGGTTCAACAAAATACCTTACTGGAAAAAGAGGAAAATTAGTTAAAATTAATTTAAGTACATTATAATCAAACTAAAAAATTTATCATTAAATGGAAGTAAGTGCATTCATCACCAGGAATGAGAAATACTTTACTCTAGAGGATATTGAAAATGCTTCAAGAAGGCGACTTTGGTTGTCAGCAAACAACACTGGCATTTCTCAAGGCCGAAAACTTGCTTTAAGTCCTTGAACACCAGAAGAACAAGTAATGCTTCTGTTTCTTTGTAGGTGATTATGCTGCTGTTTTGAGTTTTTAAGCTTCCTTGTATAGCTCTGCCAATGACCATCACTGCTTTAATCTTTTTCAGTACCCATTGTAAAGCAGACTTGGGAGAGCCAAGCAAGTCTCATTGAATACTACAGTGACTATGCTGAGAGTTCCATCCCTACTGTGGATTTGGGAATTCCTAACACAGATAGAGGTGAGTTCTGAATTCTTACTACTCTCCTTAATACAAAAAAAGTCTGTGTTCTGTAAATGTAGTAAATTAAGTTTGGATGCAAATGAAATATTTCATAAGTGCAGTAATTTTTGACTCATATTAGTTTCTTCCCCCTTCTTACCCCAACCTGGTTCTTTCAAACTAAGGGCTTTATAGTAGAGAAGGTTGCATGTTTTTAGTAGGTTTTATTGCTGTAATTGAGCACATGACAGTTACAATAGAGTTTAACAATAGGTTTGTTATAACTTCATAATTCATTGTGGCCATAATGGCGTGGCCAGAGTTAATTTATTATCTTCCTACATAAAGTGTCTATTCTAATAAGTTGTATTGTCTAGTTCACATTTTGTATGTAATTCTAAGTAGCACCTGACCCCATTCTACACTGGTTATATGTGGAATACTCATAAACTGTAGTACAGATGCTACTATTTTAATTGGGACCTAACCCCATTCTATACTGCTTATATATAGAATACGTATATGGTCTAGTACATACATATTTTAATTAAGACCTAACACATTCTATACTGGTTACATGTAGAATACTCACACGCTCTAGCTCATATGTTAATATTTTAATTAGGACCTAACCCCATTCTACACTGGTTACTTGTAGAATACTCATAAGCCCTGGTGCATAGGCTAATATTTTAATTAGGAACTACCCACATTCTACAGTGGTTACATGTAGAATACTTATACATATTGTAATATTTTAATTAGGACCTAACCCCATTTTACACTGGTTATATGTAGAATATGCATATACTCTGGTACATGCTAATATTTTAGTTAGTACCTAACCACATTCTACACTGGTTATATGTAGAATACACGTATGCTCTAGTACATATGTTAATATTTTAATTAGTAAATTGTTGGAATACAGTGTTTTTCTCTTCAGATTGTGGGTTTTGTCATTCAAAACATTTTTTAGGACATGGTGGAATAGTAGGTATTCGAGATTTCAGAAGGTGGGAGGGTGGAAGGGGGTGAGAGATGAGAAACACCTGTTGGGTATGGCCTACACTGTTGGGGGTTGGGTGCACTAAAAACCTAGACTTCACCACAACACAATGTATCCTTGTAACAGAATGCATTTTGCATGCCTCAATCTGTAAAAATATACACAATTTTAATGCCCAAAAGATGGAAGTATAAATTTGGCCACCTCGTCTTCAGATGCTTTGTGTTCTTAATTTTTATCCAGCGTTCCCACCACCTTTTTTTTTTTACTTTTTGGTTCCCATACCCTTTTATGAATAAAAATGTAAAGGTAGCAAGTGGACTGTCTTCTGTAATTTATCTTGATTATTTTATGATAGTGTCCCTCATAATTCTTTGATTAGCATAGTAGAGTGTAGAATCAGATATGCCATTTGTGTAGGTGTCATTTCTTCTGACAAGTATATGAGTATGTCTGTTGCTGTTGGATTTGAAAAAAGTATTTTAAGCAGATTTGTTCTTGTTGTTGACCTTCCTTTTTAAGGCTTTACTCTAGACTGCTTTAGTACTCATTTATTTATTTATCTATTTCTTCTTTGATTTCTTCACTTATTTCTAGTCTTTATTTCTAGACCTTATTATTGCCTATATTTATATCCATTTTATTCCCAAAGGAATTTGAGATAGCTTTCAAAAATACATATTATAATGGTGAAAAATATAGAACTAAATCAAGAGTGAAGAAAATAAAAGTCAAATTGAGAGGCTTAATATTTATGTAAGTTAATATTAGTTTGTGCTCTACTCTATCACCAAATACTTAGTTGAAGTGAGGGGCACATTTCTATTTATCAACTTGATTATTCTTCTCAAGCGTTTTACCTTTATCTTGGTCCCAGCATTTACCATTAAGCCATCATAATTTATTTGTTGGCTCCTGAAGGACTGTGACTCCGTCTTATTCAGCACTGTATCTTTAGTGCATATCTTGGACCTGCCACAGTTATCTGGCACGTTAGAAACTTAGTAGTAAATATTTACAAAATGACTGAAGGTACAGTCTTCCACCTTTTCACTGTTGCTTCCCTGTGGTAGTGGTGCTTGGGGTTCTAACAGTTGCTTCAAGATAAGCACGTCTAAGAAAAGAAGCCAGGTTTTTGCCAGGCTTTTATACTTGCTGTGAGGGTTTCAACTCTTGTTTGCCTAGACTGAAGAAACTAATCTGTCTCTACCTTAAATTACCTGTGTGACTGCATGTGTCTCCCCAATCTTTCTAAGTCTTCCTTTTTTTCGTGTGTGAAATGAATGACTTGGGTTTCATGATTTCTAACGTTCCTACTATATCTATGAAATAAAGTTCACTATATCTCTGAAAATTAGAGAAGACTAATTTTTAAAATTTTGAGTTTTTAAGGTGCCTGTTGGCATCCAAGCTTTTACTTATAGCACTTTAAAACTAAAAAAAAAAAAGTTAATGAATTCTATATATTTTAGAGAAAACACATTGTAAGTTTTTTTCTTGCCTCCCCCAGGTCATTGTGGAAAGACATTTGCCATTTTGGAAAGATTTGTGAATCGTAGCCAAGACGAAGTAGCTTGGTTAGTCATTGTGGATGATGATACCTTAATAAGGTAAGGAGTCATTCTCATTCTAAATGGCTTTAAATTCTGCATATATTCATATTCAACAATAGTTACCTTTTCTTTTGGAAAAGGTGGAATACCAATGATGGGACTTACCCTTCTCTGCAAAACAACCTCTCCCAGTATATGACATAGAGATTTTTAAGTTACTGGACTTTAGGCACAAAAGGGCAGCAGTCCATGAAGAAAATAAAAATTAAGATATGAAGCAAATAAGGTGCATTCTGTGACTGCCCTGACTGCTTGCCTCGAGAGAGTCCCAAGTCACTGCTTAGTTGGGGGGGACTAAGTGGAACTTGGCACACTCTGAGTGAAGAGATGGGGCCGAGACGCTCAGGGGACAAAGGCTATTAGAGTTCGTAAGACAGAATACTAGAGAGGAGAGTGATGTACAGAAAGGGAACACCGGGATATGTGGAGGGTCCCCTTTAAGTATTTAGTAGAGTATTGATTAGCACATGTGTGTGAAGAAACTACCCAAGGACTCGATTAGAGGAAATGGTACCTGACCTCTTACAAGGCTGGGTATAGTACCTCTTCCCAGCAGCCACGCTGGAAAACCCGTTATTCACGGGGTATCGGGTAGAGTACGTAAAAAAGTTTTGCCTCAATAGTGGGGAGTAGTTAACTCTAGACTAAGCATTGCTGTAGTCCTGACTGACAAATCTGAAAAGCAAGACCCCAAAAGACCAAACTGTTTCAAGTAACTAGCCTGTACCTGAGAACAAAACTCAAGAAGATTTATAGAAATACAAAAATAGAACCTTGAACAATTATCATAATACTGTAAGAAAAAGACTGACAGTAGCAGGAAACTGCTCGAGGGTGGGGTGAGAATGTGGGATTTGCAGTAGTGGGAATCTGCCAGGGGAGGGGAGTGGCACACCTCATCAACAAGGGTACCTGCATAATGAACATTTGCATACCTAACCCTAAATTGTACCCTACATCTTTAAAATAAAAAAATTAAAAGTAAAAAGAAAGAAAGAAATACAAAAATACCATCACCCCATAAGGTAAAATTCACAATGGTTGCCATCCAATCAAAAGTTACCAGGCATGCAAAGCAACAGGAAAATAATGATGTTAAGGAATCAGGTTATTGAAATTGTCTCAGAATTGATACAGTGCTAGAATTAGCAGTTATTAGGCTATTATAATTCTATCTCATATGTTCAAAAAAGAGACATGGGTCTCTTAGTCTTCAGTTGGTCTTAAATCCTATTTCTTTGTTTTGGATTAAAAAATGGTATTAACAGCAAATTAGATACTGCAGAAGAAAATATCAGTGAACTTAAAGACACTGTAAAAGTAAATATCCAAAGTGAAACACAAAAGGCAGAAGAGACAGAAATAGATAATTTCAAGTGGCCTTGTATCTATGCAATTAGAGTCTTCCAAGGGGCATACAACAAATACTTAAATATTTTTCAAATTTGATGTAAAACTATTAACCCACAGATCCAAGAATCCCAGTGAACCTCAATCACACTCTGAGCATACAGTCAGAGTACAGCTACCTCCAAGAATGCAATGATGGATACTTAGGACAAAGCCCACCACCCTACAGCTGTGGAATTGGGTACTAGCTCTCACATCCCAGCAACACCAACACAGATTGCTTGGCTCCCAGTGGGTTGCTCCACCACTACTACCATCATTCATATCATCACATGTACCATCATCCAGCTGTCTGGAAACATGAGCACCTGCCCACACACCTGGCCTAACACTACCTTTACTAGTTTCTAAGCAAGCTAGAGATGTGAGTCTGAAAATTTTTCGAAAGGAAACAGGCTATAAAATTAAAAATAAAAACCTCCTATAATTTTATTAAGAGGAATCAATCCCTTAAGATAGACTTCTTCTAGCATAGAGGACTGGTATGTAGAAAGACTATTATAAATAATTTTTTAAAAATTATAACCAACTTAATCACATCTAAACTTTTTATATATTCCCTTTCTTAAATCTTATTATGACTTACACAGACCATCTATGACATGCATGGACTTTTCATTTTGTCTTATACTTCCCTCTTTGTTTAATAGCTGATTATTTTAGGAAAAAAATGTACTGTACAAGATCCTTTCTCTTATAAAATTATTTTCTTTTCTTTATAACCTTCCCTACCAAAAATACATCTTTATGCCTATAACGTTCTCCACATACTTTCCTACTTAAGAAACAAGGTTCTTTTTTTACCTTGTTTTATAAATAACCTTTAAATAACCTTTGAATTTGAAACAGTTTTTTAAATCTCAGCACAAGAGGCTTAATAACAGCAGATTGAAAGCAGACAGAAAAGAGAAATAGAGAGCTTTAGATGACTCCAACTCTGTAGTTGCAGGTTAACTAGTTGAGTTCTGAATTTTCCTTGCTGTAATTTGCGCATCACTTAAAAAATGTGCACAAAAATGGTCTGTAATATGTAAGCAGCTGGAGTCCCAGAAAATCTGGCATGTCTTCCAAGGTAATAGAGTCACACATAGATTCAGACAGATGGAGCACTATCTGACTGATCCTGACTGAAGGGGCTGGATAAAGTCCTGAATTCTTGTCCTAGGTTGAGACGGCCCTACAAGGTCCTGATGGAGCATAGCCCAAGTGGTGCCACAGATGGTACAAGAGCCCAGATGGTGCCTCAGGCAGCCGAGTCCCAAGGAACAGAGCCCAAGGCCCAAGTAGTGGGGAGAGTGTTCTCGGGTGCAAGTCCTCAAGTCCATTGACTTGGCATGCCGTGTTCCCTTCATCATTAATGAATAATAGGCAGCTGGTGCCAAGATGGGGAAAGAAGGGAGATTCCCCAGGACAAAAGCATCTCTATAACTGCTGGAAGGTCCCTGGGGTCCCAGCCACAGGGTCAGCTTGCCATGAGCAGCCAGTGCCTACAAGTGGCTGTCGCCTTGCTGGTGGTGAATCCAGGCAGACAAGCTAACCCACTGGCAACATGCAGTGTCTCACATGGGGCCCCAGATGTGTAATTGACCGAAGTTTGGACATTTACCATACAAAGCTGAACACGAGAGACCAGAGATAGTGAAAGGAGAGTGACTTTATTCCAAAAGCAGGCAGATGGGGAAATGGTCAGGCTCATGCCTCAAACTGACCATTTTGGATTTTTAGGCTGAGTGCAAGGGCTTAAAAAGGGAGGCTTGCTATGGGGAAACATGCAGGAGTGGCACAGGGTGATCTTGTTGTGATGGCTCATCTTGGGTTGTGGTCCTCGAGAGGTCTGGTTGTTGTTATCTCAGCTGTAGTCAGGTTATGGATCAGCCATCTCATGACTCTCTGGAAGCAGAAGGGTCCCATGGTCAGGCTGTCTTGAGATTAGCCCCTGGCAATTGGCAGTAGTGGGAAACTGCCAGGGGAGGGAGGGGCACACCTCATCAACAAGGGTACCCGCATAATGAACATTTGTATATCTGACCCTGAATTGTACCCCACGTCCTTAAAATAACAAATTAAACAAAAAAATTAGCCCCTGGGATTTCTAAGGAAGCATATGATCAGATGAGTTTGCATGGTGCAAAGGAGCGTCTGGTAGATAAAGGGAGAAAAGAAGTTTCTAAAACATGTATGTCAAGGCCTTACGTTAAGATCAGAGGGGAAAACACTTTAAAATACATTTTAAGCTAGGCTCGGTGGCTCAGCCTATAATCCCGCACCTCTGGGAGGCCGAAGTGAGTGGATTGCCTGAGCCCGCGGGTTCGAGACCCGCCTGGGCAGCGAGACCTCATCTCTACAATAAAATCAAAAAATCAGCCGGGCGTGGTAGCGCATGTCTGTAATTCCGGCTACTTGGAAGGCTGAGGCAGAAGGATCGCCGGAGCCCAGCAGGTCGAGGCTGCGGTGGCCAGGAGTGGCCACTGCACTCCAGTCTGGGCGACGGAGTGAGACTCCAACTCAAAAAAAAAAAAACATTTTAAGACTGAGATACTCGGTTACAATACCAGTGTACTCTGCCTTTGGCAAGAATGGCATAGTCATATCAGCACCCTCCCACTCCTTCCCCAGATCAACCAGAAAGAGAAAAACCTAGTGGGAACACTTCTGTAGTCCCACTCATGTTGCATGTGAACACACACGTGAAGGCATGTTAGCCAGCCCTTCCTGCCTTTATCTTCCCCATTGTAGTCAACCAATAGCTCGGTTGCCCATTTTACTTCTCTAGCAAAATATTACTCTGAGGAGAGTACCTCTCTGCCCATTGTTGGGCATTATGGTCTGTCCAGTGTGTTCTTTGGTCTGAAGAAGTGACACTTGGCCGTCTTAAGTCCTTTCAGTATCTTCTGTTTTGCTTTTATTATGATGGCCCTCTGACCATTTGCGTCTTCCACTGTGTGAGCAATACCCACTCCAGAGTCGGTGTTTATTCCTGTTAAGACCCATTTGTTGTCCCCTTGGGCTACCAGCATCAGTCTTACTTGCCAGCATTCGTTAGGGCCTTCCCATCAGGAAAATTTCCCTGTAGCTTTTGGCCATCCCTGTCTCTTGCTGGCAAGCAGAAGAGTTCTTACTGGTATTTTGTACCTGAGAGGGTGCAAAGGAAGCATGCCCAGACTCAGCTCGGCTCTGGACTCCTGGAGTGCCCCATATCCACTCATTTCATGGGCCTGAGTAGCCACCTTGGGAGCATATGGGGATAGCCGCTTGTTGATTCCAGTCACCCTCTGAATCTGGAAGGGGCTCTGTAGCTGGGCATTGACCTGTTCTACTGTATTATGCCCCTCAGATTTCCATAGGGTCATGCTCTGTATGGGCATCATTTTAATAGGCCGAGTTTCCATTGTGCTCTTCCCTAAGTTTATTACCAGGCCATTGGTCACGGCCTGTGAGTCAGTAAAAATCCAAGCACAGGGACGTCTACAACACTGTTAAATTCTTCTATTCCTGTTAGAAGAGCACCATGCACTCCAGCCCACCAAACAGATTTTTTACCTTCTTTGATCAAAGTAGCAGCCTCCCAACCAGAATAGTGCCCACTC